CCATATTTAATGTCTGTGTATCATTTTACGTTCTATAGTCTCTCATAATCCCATACGGGATGGCTGATCACAGGTATTTTGTTATGTGACCTGTATATATATTTATTTGTATGAGGTGAGACATGAAATAAATTTACCTACCTACCTACCTAACTGACATTATTTATGGATTAGTCCACTCAGGAAGTGTGGCGTTAAACAACAAACCAATAAACGTTCAAGCATATGGTTGATTTGGAGAAAGCCCAGATTCGCCTTGAGTTCCCGTACATGCCCATGTTCAGCGCTGTCACGAAAGTGGTTAACGTTTAGATGCTGCGTCATTGTGAATCACAATGCTGACAGGCTGTGGTTTAACTGAAAGTGTTCAAAACGGCGTGTAAAATAACTCGTTGGTTACAGACACTGTTCGTACAGTGAAAAACGACCCCGCGTGCGGTTTACACACATTGAGAACTGCTATCCCCGGGTTGTATCTAAGATTCTGTAGTGCATTGAGCATTAACATTAAATCACACTGGATCATTTTCCATTGACAACGGTCGAAGTCATGAAACGCATCGTTAATAAAAATAAAGATGCAATCCATTAATTTACAAAAATATATTTCCAAATATTTCCATACGAACAAAGATACATTTGTCCCATACAATCCGTCGTTCGAGTCGTCCCAGTCAATGGAAACGCAACACCCCACTGCGTCTGTGAGCAGTAATGTTAGTTAATGGATGTTTTACGATGGAAAAAACAACCTACATGCACATAAATTATATATTCACTGACATTCAGGATGCTGAAATACACATATAAATGATTCGCTTGTTCGTTTCCCTACATAAAACCCGTTCCATTGATAATTAACCTCTTTTTTAGAAATATGCCATGTGAACCTATTTAACGAATTTGAATATTTAGCACAGAAACATGTCATTGTGGAATAGTATTCTATTCAGACACCGTTATGGCCTCTTGCTTCTTCTGCCATTTGCAAAATATCTCCGTCATAAGAACGAGTCCAATTATGTTGTCAAAACTTACAGACAGGCGGATATTGGATTACGCGATAGAGATTAAACGCGCTTTATACAACTAAATTGGAATTCCCATTCGTTATTCAAACCAAAGAGTCCCCGTGGAGATTTCAGCTTAGAATTGGTCCCCAGCAATCTATGCTGGTCGCCCCATAGGGATTCCGGATTAGAATAGGTACCAAGCAATCTATGCTAGTTGAACCGTGGGAATTCCGGTATGCTTTGTCCTCAGCAATTTATGGGGGTCGTACCGTGGAGATTCCGGGTTAGAATTGGTTCCCAGCAATCTATGCTGGTCGTACCGTAGTGAGTCCGTTATGAAATTGTCTCCTACAATCTATGGGGGTCGTACCGTGGAGATTCCGGGTTAGAATTGGTTCCCAGCAATCTATGCTGGTCGTTCCGTGGGGAGTCCGTTATGAAATTGTCCCCTACAATCTATGGGGGTCGTACCGTGGAGATTCCGGTTTAGAATTGGTCCCCAGCAATCTATTTTATTTTCTATTTAAACATATTTTATTGCAAATTAACTTTTTTCTACTGTATCCAACATGTACTGAATAAGCAAGTAAGAAGGAAAACATAAACCAGTAGAGAAATAGATAGTGATAGATGATTCTTGTTACATAAAATTAATTTAAAATCTGTTTGTTTCCAATAGAAATTAATGGAAATATTTATAAATTGAATTAATTTGTTACCACTTGAAATTGTTGCTAAATAGGGCTGAGCCCCTATATTCATAATGCTGATGACAAAGATTGTCTTTTAAAAGTATATTTCTTACATTCGAGAAAACAGTGAAACGAATTTTCGCATGGTGAACCGAAAGAGCAGGAATTAAGGTCTGACAAATTAACTCTAAATAAATGCATCATTGAGATTGCTACATCTATGTCTAGGTCTTTTGTGTACAATATTACTTTCACGTTTTCCATTACTGAAATTACATGGAGAACTTTTAACATTTGGATAAATTTTTTTCTAAATTCAGCTACAGAAATACTATTTTTTAACATTTTCATTTTGTGAATGCCGCTGTTTTAATAAGTCTATAGTAAATGACTTTTGAAAAGTACTTGTGCTGGTAAATGGAACAATTGTGCTATGTTTATTACGTTGGTTATAATTTGCAGCACTTGACCTACTGTGTGGTAATAAATAATTTAGGTTTGGGGAACATTCGTTCATTACTATTTTGTGTACTGTCATAGGTTTTTAATTTCTTTTCTCTATCTAGGAAGAAAATTTGGTCAAACCTGTAAAATCTTTGCAGTATCAATCTGTATTAATTCAGATTTGTTGTCATTAGAGCCAGAACGGTTGTCCCATAGTTCGATTGAATATTCTTAAATATGTTAGATAGTGTATCTTTTTAATTTTACATTTAGGTTTACGAAATGGCTGAGGTCATATTTTTTTCTGTTGACCTAGCAGTAATTGAAATATGTGCAGTCCATTTCGTATCTTGAGATAAAGTGATACCTAGAAGTTTGTGAGTTTCTACAATTTCAATGGCAAAGTTAGCATAATAAATAGTTAGATAACCCCGTACCTGTTCGTGACTTAAAAGAATATATTTGGTCTTGGTGGGATTAAAATGTACAAGCTATGTGCTTGCTCACAGATGTAGGAAGAGTTGATTTTGATTTAGTCTTTCTTCAATTTAAACCACATCAGCAGATGAAGTTCCTATACAGTTATCAGCGGCGAATAATCTGGTAATATTTTGAATTTGGTCAGTTGTATGATTTCTGCAAACAAGAAAAGAACGGCCCCGGTACAGAACCCCACGGACCCTTACCTTTGGTGAATCTATTACTAGATAATCTACCATTAACACATACTCTTTGGCAATGATCTGACAGATAACTACGACACCACACAAATAATTTAACAGTAATACCCTATCGTTGTAGCTTTTAAGATGTACTTTTATGCACCCTGTGAAATACCTTAGAAATATCACAGAATATCAACCAAAAATATTTCTAGTCTGGTCATTTTGGTCGAAATAAATGGCCAACCTCAAGAAAATTGCAACAGAATTAATTCATACTTTATGTTATTTGGTAGCATGTCAGCTTTCAGGAAAAAAAAGTCTACCAAAATCAACTCATGGGAATGACCTTTCTCAAGGTCACAAGATATAGGCCTTATATAATTCGTATTTTCGTATTCTTGGATATTTGTAGGAAGGAAGAGATTCAAATTTATTATAGTTTTCTTTCTAATATAACTAAATTAAAGAACAATCTGGATATACAACTTTTATTTTTACTTTCTAAAAAATATCACAGGGACAATTTAATTCATTCCAAAGACAATGGATGATTTTGATAAGTCAAGTGTCCTTCAATACAAGTTTTACAATTTCGTACAAGTAATACTATTTTGTCCGTAGAAACGGGTCGTGGCAGAATGTTCCTTTGATTGAGACTCTGCCCGATTTGTGACTCGCGTACAAGGGGAAATGAATATCATATGTTCCAGTATACTTGTTTTAGATTTGAAAGAAAATTATTACCAAACTATTGTCGTATAAATCCCAACTTTTATAAACTACGATGCTTATTCACAACCACTGATAGTTGAACACTCATTCGTTTAAGTAAGTTTAGTGGTTGCATATTTCAGAAGTTAATTTTGTTGTTGTTGTATAATGCCGCACTCAGCAATATTGCAGCTATATGACGGCGGCCAGTAAATAATCGAGTCTGGACCAGACAATCCAGTGATTGACATCATGAGCAGCGATCCACGCAATTGGGATCGATGACATGCATCAACCAAGTCAGCTAGCCTGACCACCCGATCCCGTTAGTAGTCGCCTTTAACGACAAGCACAGTCGCCTTTTACGGCAAGTATATATGATACTGTGATGTTGTTGTGCTAGATGTAAATAATATAACGTAGCTGTAGTTTCGAAAGATAATCCAGTAATAAAACACTTACAGAACAATAATATCTTTAATGTCAATTATATCATGTATGCTATTTCTCATATCACTTTAATACATTGTAATTTGTATGTGTATCATGTTTGGGAGAGGCATTCAGATAAGCAAAATTTGCTTGTTTGCCAATCCCTCCACTTTATGGAAATAAATATGTTAATAGCATAGAGAACTGAAACTTGGTAACGCATGGGTAGTTGGCCGACTATAGTCTATTCTGGTGAAAGGGGCCTCGGCGAAACTCATGTCAGCCGGTTATCTATTACTGTCGCTGATACGCTGAGTGAACACAGGCTATACTGACTATAGATTCATTTATTTAAGTGAGCGAATCTATTCATTTTGAGTATAAGTACAAGATAATTATAGACTATTGCATAGCATAGCAATATGGCAAACGCTCAAGTGAGTGAGTGAGTATGGTTTTACGCCGCTTTTAGCAATATTCCAGTTATATCAAGGCGGGGGGCACCTGAGTGAGTGAGTTGAGTTTGACAGTATTCCAGTTATATCACGGCGTGTCAGCTTAATGTGGAAGGAAAGCCCGAAGTGATGCAGGTCTTAGACGTTTACCTCTTCGGTGAAACCCACGAGCACGGGTATGGTGCTGACAAACCTAGAAACGTTATCGGGGCGAACCGGGATTCAAACCCACAATCATAGGTTTCTGGGGTGCCCAAGGGACGCAACTCTGCACAGCGAATCGCGGCGCCTTAGACGATTGGGCCACCCGTGCCCCCGAGAGCAATCTCATTAAAATCAGATCAGAAAATTAAAACTGATAAGAAGAACACTCTGGAATGGCTTATAGATGGCCTAGATTGTATGGATATAATAAAAAAAAACGTAACTGTCGTTCGGAATACCCCGTGTCAAATATTTCGTGGTTGCATGATTAGAAAACACGTTCCTACTGTCACTTTCATGATCTGGTAAGCGACGCTCTGATTGGTCGGATGAAAGGTCGTTCTGACGCGACCCCTAATGGGATGTCCTCAGATCTTTGTTTGGCGGTAGCGAGTATAAAGATTTTATTTTAATAAGATTGCCCCGAGGGACACCAGAAATGGGCTTCACGCATTGCACCCATGTGGGGAATCGAACCCGGGCCTTCGGCGAATAAACACACAAGTGCCTCGCTGTATTCTAAACAATTTTTGGGGACAGTATTTGGTCTACTCCTGCTACAAATTTAGTTTCAAGTCAAGAAACGGAGACAGAATCCACTGGCGCTGTTGTCTGAGATCATGCCGTTCCAGAATGGTAGCCGTAATTCTGAAAGAAGAAAAATGTCTTACAGCATCGTGCCAAAAGAGAGTAAAGTTGTTTAAATTCCTATATATTTCAAGTAATTACATCTGCATTTGCTGAATTTTCCTGGTTCCGTTTTTCACCAATTTCCCAGACAAAAAAAAAGTTACAAGCCGGTTAAAAGAGTTAATTTTGTGACTTTAAACAGTAAAACAAATTCACTCAAGACGAGAAATGTCAATATCGGGTGTTTTAGAAATAGGTAACTTGTTCCGATATCAATATTGTAAAGATTGGTTGTAAAACGTAATGAATTTAATGAATTGCAAATTACGTACGCATTACGCAACTGATTATATATCATGACACTCATGGGCTTCCATACATTTTTTTAATATTTTATCAAGGAGGGTCCACTTTTCGATATAATTTTTCACATATTTATGTTTCTAATAATTGTAACAATGTTGGATGAATTTATAAAAGACAGGAATATGGTTATCGGTCGTGTTTGACGCACATGTTCTCTGCTGGTGCAGCCGTAATTACATAGCAGACGACGCTACACGATTTATGGTTGATGGGCATGTTAGAAGTATATTGGAAGCCAACTGCTATTATTTTCATCATTATTAATTACATTTTTAAATAAATGTGTATCTGTCAACTTACCATGAAATAATACGGCTCCGTTAGCGTTGTTTTTTTTTCTGAATATTTTCCAAGGCACTAGCAGGATCACTACGAATTATCTCCCTTTGCGAGCTCTTCTTGATGTACGGCGGCCCGTAGATGCCATATTCTCCTCGTTGGTTTTTATCTTTTTTGATGCGGGAATTAACCATTTTCCCGAAGGTTGATTTTGGTAGACTTTTTAATACAAACTCAAATACATTCAATTAAAAGGAAACAGTCGTAAAATATTCTGTTGCAATTTTCTTACAATTACAGAATGACCAGACTATTATGACTATCAAGCGAATTACAAATATGATTATAAATTTCAATCAGTTGATATATACTGCAACTGTTTGGCATGAATCCCGATTGATATTTGGAAGTATTTTATTTTCCAGAAAGAAATTATACATTGAATTTCCTAAAAATGTCTCGTTCAAATATTTTGAAGAGACAAGATAACAGTGAAAAATGGCTGTAGTTTGAAGGGTGGTATTTGTACAATGGCAATGATGAGCCTATGATTTCTCAAGAGATGAAATGAATAACAAACATAGAGGTTGGATATGGATATTTGAAAATCTGAAAATAAATCAGTTACTGTGTTGTTATTATTGATCAGAGGTGGTATAACGTTGCTGGGTCCAGAATCTTTAATGAAGTGACGCAGTATTTTCCATTAATTAGAACTGTTTTCTTTCATTTGTGATGATAATAATTCATGTAAGTTTAAATAAGATAAGTCCTTGGCAGATTGCATTTAATTATTTACCTTATTTTGTTTTCTATGTTCATATAAATCGCGTTCGCTGCATGTTTTTTTCGTGTCAATGCCGTTCGTTAAGCGTCCAAAAGAAAAAGGAATGTCGAGCTACGCAAGTCGGCTCTTTAGTTACGCTACGTAAACACTTCTTTACTAAATATTGTGGAATGATAAAGATTGCTGATAAGCAAATCTTCGTTAGGAATTGTGTTGGTGGGGGTATGATATTCTATATTTCTCGTCATTGTCGTATGCTAAACGAAATTTTAGAATCATACAGATATGAAAATATGTTCCGAGGTTTTCGTGCCATAGAAGTGATTATTATTATTATTATTATTATTATTATTATTATGATGATGATGTGCACCGTATACACCAGCCAACACCCATGTGTCATATTGGGATCAACTTGAACATAGGTTGTTCTTCTAGGTGACTTTAACAAAAACAAATTAAAGTCAATGAAAGGTCCGTTGAAATGGGGTTTAACAACGCAAGATTATTGCACTTATATAGCGACGTGCATGTACGTGTGTGTGTGTGTTTGTGTGGCTGCTTGTACTAGTCTGGACTGATACCTCTTCATCATACTAACATAGGGTAGTTTTGCAGATCCCATCAATTTACCTTTTGACTTGGCATCCTCCATAAGTCGCTTCAGTTCTTTTAAGCGTGTGATTTCATCGTTGAGGTGCGAGAGCTTGACGTGGGAGGCCTGTAGGTCCAGCTCCAGGTCCAGAGACGTCCTCGGGTTCAGGTGGGCGGAGAACGAAGACTGCAACATCCGGAGAGGGTGCAGTGCAGGGTCATGAATGTTCACCAGATCATGTTTCATTGGGGAGGGGGGGGGGGGGAGGGAATACGGTAATAATTATGTTCATGGAAATAGGGAACTCATCACATCATGTAATATATACATGAAAAGGTTAAGCGCCCCATTTCATTAAACAGAAAGATATCAAACATATTATTCTGAAACAAGTTTCCACTCGTGTTTAACGCCATGGAGAGGAACAAATTATGACGGGTACCAGTGTTAACAGCAACTATCCAAGACAGCCGTTAATAATGACACGTAATCAGCCAAGTAAGGCAGTGATTCCTTTTAGAGTGAGTGAGTGAATATGGTTTTACACCGCTTTAAGCAATATTCCAGCAATATCACGGCGGGGGACACAAGAAATGGGCTTCACACATTGTACACATGTCGGGAATCGAACCCGGGTCTTCAGCGTGACGAGCGAACGCTTTAACCACTAGGCTACCCGACCGCCCGATTCCTTTTAGACATTTTGACCTTATCCTAAATGAGTGGGAGAGTGAGTTTTCTGAGGGTACATACCTTGCACACATAGCCAGGCGGTTGTTGTCTGCACGCCGGGGAGAATGTTTGTGACCGACGGATGGTGCTGTTTCGAAAGTGATGATTGTTTGGCCTCCGTTTGATTTCTTTCACCGAATAATCTCCTTCGGTATTTGTCTCAGCATCACAAGTTTTCACGTGTAGAGATTCATCCGATTCAGAGAAGTGGTCGTCCAGGTTTTCAATGTTTTCAAGTTCAGCCAGGACTTCCTGCATCATTTCATTGTAGTCCTGAAGTAGAGAGCACACACAAACTCAGGCTACCTTCTCAAGGGTGGATCCAACATTTTCAAAAGGGAGGGGTCATCTTCAACATAATACAACCCCCTAGAACCCCCTTCTGAATCCACAATGCTTCTCACAATGCCATCTAGCACTGGATATGGCAAAGTAAGGCCTTTATTTTCTAATTTCCTATTAGCTGGTTTTAAAAAAATATGGTCTAAAATTCAATGTAGGTGGCCAAAAAAAAGTCAACTTCCAGATTAGTACTGCTACAATTAAAAAGAAAATAGGTCTTAACATGGCAAGATACCACAAGGTAACTGATTGTTATTCAGTTAAAATAAAGACTTTCATACATATTATTCATGCATCTTACGAGCAGCAGTGATAAAAACTTGTGTGCTTTTTTTATTTAATCTAATTGTAAAACAGAGTTGGACCAACTTTTTTTTGTCAAAAATATTTTCTTTCTTTCATGGTTTTCATTGTCGGTTGGTCTCTCAAACCACCTAAAACACTACATACAGACATAGGACCTACCTAGCTGTTAATGAACTTCCTGTGAAACCATCTTCCCAAGGCAAGCGAGTTAACTGACTATAAAAGTCCAGTTTCCACCCTTGCCGAACTAGGCTGGTATTATTGAGTTACATTTTGGCTGGACTAACGAGTCTATGCATAGTCCAATCAAAATCGCGCACCGAAATCGAAACCCGGTTCGTATACTGTCGTGCAAATTTCGGCCGATTGCAGGATTTGCAAAGCATGGGCATCGCCAACTCAATGTCAGCAGATATTTTCCAAATCTTTTCATGTTTTTAATCAAGGTGCTCATGTGATTTGATCCATTTCGCGATGTAAGACCCGTTTTATCACAATATATATCTTGATTACCGATCAGATCGCCCTGGCTTGGCGCCGACATTTTGGGTGAAGCAAACGCAAGTGATACGAAAGGTCCATTGGTCCATAGGAGAGGCTGAGAGGGGACATAACTGGTACTAGCCACTGGTGGCACTACAATCGAGCCTAGTAATTCCAGCCAAGTTCGGCAAGGGTGGAAACTAGACTTTTAAAGACAGTTAACTCTCTTGCTTCGGGAAGATGTCAGAAACAAACACATTCATACTTTATGAAAATCAGAAAGAAGTACACCATACTATATGCACATATATGGACCTGGAGCTTATTTAATATAAAATATATTAAATGACAATTGTTGTAATTTCTTCCTTTTCTTGTATGCGTTTCATACTTATTGTCCATTGTTCAGAGCCTAATTATCACAAAGTGACACTAAGCGTTCCCATATTATTTTTGACCCTCACTTTCTCATCTTCTTCCTCCAAGTCTTCATCATCTTCGTCCTCCTCATCATCATTCTCCCCAAATCCAGCCAGACGTGGGCTTGTCTCCCTATCTTGGTGGCTGGCCATGTCCTCGGGACCTAGGGGCAAAAGTATTTGTTACATAGATGCATCTGACAGGAGGTAAACCTTGTTTAATTTCATTCAGAAAGCAAGTGAGCGAGCGAGTGAGTGAGTGAGCGAGCGAGCGAGCGAGCGAGTGAGTGAGTGAGTGAGTGAGTGAGTGAGTGAGTGAGTGAGTGAGTGAGTATGGTTTTCCATCACTTTCATCAATATTTCAGCACAGCAGGGGACACCAGGAATGGGTTTCATGTGGGAAATTAAACCTAGGCATTCAGCACTTTAACCTCTAGGCTACCCTACCGCCGTGTTGAATGTGATTAAAAGCCCAGATAGAAACAGTGTATGAATAATTGTCTCGCTAAAAATCTTGTCTTCTTGTTCACATTGTCACAACATGGTACCTAACATGGTGACCTGCATTTGTTACTCATCATACTTTCAACAAGACAAATGTCAGGCAGAAAAGCATTGCTTTAGTTGACTCTTTCATTTGAACATTTAAAACTTCCGCTACACTTCTGACATAGAACACTCAATCTAGAGGATCGCAGTCCTGGAACGT